TGTGCTGGAAAGCCATAGAACTCAGAATGTGCTTTGTCCAAGTTGCTCTAATGGAATGATTGTTTGCGTCTGTTTTGATGAAACTCAGAGTACCAGTTTTTGAACGGCGTATTGACAACATTGTTGGCATAGCATATGCTATGGATATGCTTGATTATGTGGAGCAGGTAAAGCATCATATTACTTAAAGTTCCTGTCTGTATCTCTGATTTTACGGATTATGTATGATCATTCTGTGGGTGCTTCTACGCTGTAGTGCTCATTTTATGGTCCAGGTTGAGTGATGATGCACCCTATGTGTATGGCTTAGGAGAGTTAATGCTGGCGTCTTCTTGGTTGCAGACAGAATTGTTGCAAAGGATGAATGTTGGACGCATTGCTCACAGGCCAGCTTACTTCGTTCCAGGTGGGTATACTTTTGATAAGTGGTACGTGGAGCATTGGAGTGATAATGTATGTAACCATTGCGTGTTCAACTAAATTTGATTTGATTTTTTTTTGCTATCCTATTCTTGGTGGAGTTTTTTATGCGTGTAGTTTCAAATTACTAAACTCGACTTGGATATGCAGACTCTATGTCAGTGTGGAATCTGTTACGGGAGTTCAGGGTACGAAAAGTACATATGGCAATTGTACTGAATGAATATGGTGGTACTGTTGGGGTAAGATTCCATACATACAAGATACTATGTATGATTTATTAAATCACAGTTCTCTCAATGATACCCAACCCGCCTAGCGGAATTAATAATAAATTTATTGTGCTACTTTATATGATGGTGTGAACTTCATAACATACTGTCCATTTGTAAGGGGGATTAATTTTAATTCAACTCCAAGTTGAGGTTGTAGTAAATTTTTTGTTTTGTGCAATCAATACAAATACTGATGAACACAGAATTACAGGTTGTGACACTGGAAGATGTTGTGGAAGAGATTGTTGGCGAAATTTTTGATGAAAATGATTCCAAGGTTGGTTATTTCCCTGAATTCCTATTTTGAAAACTAGAAATGCCTTTTTGTCTCAACCCTCGCTACTGGTTCATGAGCTTTCAGTTCAAGGGACTTTGCAGGGTAGTTATGCTAAAACTTATATTTGTGTATGTACATCACCATCCTTAAACTTCTCTGCTCATGGAAATTTGTTTCCAGGAGGAGATTAGGAAGAAAACCGGTTATGTGGTTCAAAGGGCCGACGGGGTTTTTGACGTCGATGCAAACACGTCAGTCGAGGACCTGAAGGAAGCTCTAGAGATTAAACTTCCGGAGGTAGGCTACTGATGAAAGGGCTTAGAATCTGGTGACAAATGTTGGGATAGAAGCTGATCATCTACACTTTTATTGGCGAAGTAGCGAACCATTCGGAACTAGACCTTTGGTTCCTAGTTTTGAGAAGTATACCATACAAACTGTGGTCGTTGAAATCTAACAATGTGATCTGTAGCAGGGTTCACACCGCTATGAGACTGTATCAGGTTTTGTATGTGAGGCCTTTGGCTACATTCCTCGCACTGGAGAGAGTACCAAAATTACACTTTGGAAGGCGGATGCTGATGAGGGTGAACGGCGTGATGGAGATAACCAGGGCGAGCATCATGATGACCGTCGGGAGAAGGAGAAAGAGAAATTTCAAAAGTACCGCCTAGAGGTACCATAAATCTGCACCACGGTACTATTTCAGTTTAAATGACTGCATCAATATGTTGCTTGATTTAGCAATATGTTGGTTTATTCATGAACTGCAGATTCTCGCCGGTAACGCTCGAAAGGTAGGATCGGTGCGGTTTGAGAGATTAGAGGGCACCAGTCTGAGTCGGGAGGAGGCCGAGAGGAGTTTTCCCAGAATTCTGCATACAGATAGGTGAGTAGACGTTCGATGTACCCATAAAGCTTTGTCTGGGAATTTTGTTCGTGAGGTTAAACAGATAACACCATTTAATATACTTTTAAGTACTTAAGAACTTCTGCACCTTCTGCGTTGCTTTGCTTTTCAACAAATATCTTGTATTAGTCCTAGTATGCAAGGGCTTCCTACGCGGTTAATATTTTTGCGTGGCATCATAGCATTCAATTTTCACATAGTACTCGTATCAATGGTATTAGTCATCTTTTGTTTATCTTTTAAACCAAGTATGTAGTTTAGCCTCAGAGAGTGCACTTTATCTCCATTTGCACTAATTCAATCTGTGCTGTTCAGTCCTGCCGATGAAGATGTCCGCTGGAGAGACTCTGAGGAAGTCTCTACAGAAGAGGACTCTGATAGCGAAGGCTCAGATACCGAGGGATGCATAGCTGATGTGGACATTATAGACGGACCCAGAATTTATCTACCCGGAAGTGTTCGTTGCAACGACGACCTGGACTTTGTACCATCTGACGGTCTAGCCACAATAGGTACTCAAGACTGGGGATTGGAAATAATTGAGGAAGCGCCAAAAGATGGAATAAAAACAGATGGTGAAGCAGACCAGAGCACCACGACTGTTGTTGCCAACCTCACAGAGAAATGGGAATTGCAAGAGGCGCAAGTTGAAAGGCGCCGAAACAGAAGACGAAAACAGTCAGTGGAGGCTGCGATGGAGCTGGACAGACAACAAAGGTTCAACCAACACAAGCAATGAATGCTAAGCTCTCTTATCTCAACACATAGGCGGGATTGAAAGGGTAAGTGGGGGTTTTGGCATGTAACAAGATATTTGGAAACTTGGTTCAAAGGAAAAAAGAAGAAGACAACGAAGACGAAGAAAATGATGCTGATGATGATGACGACGACGATGATAACAATAGTTTTTAGGCATTCGTATCATATTTAAGGGATTTCACATCCTATCCTCATCCTTTCTAGCCTGGATTTGTTTGCATCTCTAGCAAGATGACTGTAAATTGTGAGGACTTAGTGTTTAGACTGCCATGTCTCCACAAATATCTGGCAAAGTCATGAAGCAACGCGCTGACTTTAGTTTGCTTGCTGTTCAATGTATAGCCTCTCGATAGATTTGCCCTTACGAGAAGGGACTTCCGAGGGCTTGCTTGTATTTTTATTCGACCTCTGTATCATACTACAATTCTTTCTGATACACATTGAAAGTTCACACATTGTGCAGTCTTTTCATCTGAAAAATTAGAATATTTAGTACTACTGATTCTTGTCTGAACTGAGTTGGGTTGTTACCTTGACTGTTAAGACTGGGACAAGTTTTGCTTTATCTTACACTTTTCTGACTGCTGTCATCGAAGCAATGCACGGAATGGCAGGCTTCTTTTTGAAATATGTATCATGAAACATTGGTACAAGAATGTCTTTTTGAGTTGTTGACATTTATGTAGATCTTCAGAGATCCCATGTTAATAGTGCTAGGCGTGAGATATCTGAAGTGTGCACATGCATTCTGTCATCGAGGAGTAGCAATACCGTGTAAACAGGGTCTCTCCGTTGCAGAATCACTTGACCTTTACTATATTCGGTATCAAAAATGCCAGGTGTGGATCTTGGATTGGAGTTTCTCGTCATGTTTTATACATTCAGCATAGCCTATTAACCTTGACTTGAACTCTCAAATTTATTTTTAATTCATGTTTGAACTTTCGTTTTTAGTGAGTGTATCTTAGTCCGTCAATGACTATATATATATATATATATATATATTCACACACAAAGTCATTAAAGATAATTTTTTCTCAATGCAAGGTTATTTTATTTGTTTATTTTCAATGCTTTCTTTCTTTTTTCTGTGCATGAGATGGATGACTAATGACGTTAAAATAGATATAATGGATTTACAAAGTTAACTTTTATTTCCAAATAAATAAATAAATACATAACCTTTATCCTGAAACGTATACACACACTCAAATACAAATAAATACTTTCAGCCAACCAATATTTTCATATATGGATTTTGACTTGATCAATTTAACTTAGAAGGATCAAAGTTCTCCCTACTTGTTATATTTAGAACCACAATAAGAATAATATAATCAATAAATCAAAAGAGCTAGTACATTTCAGTTCTTCAATGTAATTTAAATTAGTATTAAAAAATCACATTATTTATTATTAAATTTGTATAAGTATAAATAATGAATTATTATAATATTAAATTTACATTATTATATTATAATTACCAAAAATAAATATATCATATTATTCTATTAGTTAATTTAGATATAAAATTCATCATAGTTTTCATTCATATAAATATATATATATATATATATATTACTTGAGAGCAGATGAGTGATATAGACAAACTTCCTAGACTAAAATCTTAGATAAATATTGTCCAATGGACTATCATCCACAAGATTGGATCTTAGACATATGATTGTGCATATTGCTCACTCAATAAGACAATAGTATATATAGTATATATATAGTTTATCTTATTCAAACGTTTGCATGGTTTGATAGAGACCAATTGTTATAGAAACTTGTAAGCATAGCTAAAGAAGTGGTCAACTTCTAAGAAATTTTAGATTCAAACTTGGTCAATGGTATTAGCTTCTAATTTTATCATATATTTTTTCATAGACTATTCTTATCCTTGATCTAATTTCTTTAGAATTGTTAAGTTAGGTATACTTGAATACCTAACTTAAGTAAGTATATTAAACAAACCAAACATATAAAAAGTAATATTTAGATAAATAGATAAATATATATATATATATATATATATATATATTGGATATTTTTCTCTTCCAATATCTAGTCTAAGGATTCATTCCTAATGGACACGCTTTAGACTTGTACAAGAAGAATATCTATAGTCACAAAAAAACAAACAAACAAACAAACAAACAAACAAACAAAAAAAAAAAAAAAAAAAAAAAAAAAAATGACAATTAGATAACAGGTTTTTATGCATTTTACCTCATTTTTTTACCTTCTTTTTTTGCTTGAAGGCATTTGGATTAATTTTATTGAACATAAACACAATTTAGTGAGGTTTCTCAATTTCATCCAATTGAAAATTTTAAAATATTTGGCCTGCCACCTTATCTCCATATGTAAGTTCTTCCTAAATATATGTTGTGATATGCTTTATAAAATTCTAAGATTTGAATAATACATTAAAATACAAATTTTTGAGATGTAATAAGATATAGCCTTCAACTAGGCTTTTTAATAGATACAAAATATATTTTCTTTGAATATATATGTATGTATATATATATATATATATATATAATTCTGATTTTTTTCAACTTTCATAATTTCTTGATATATATATTTTAGACATTTTGTTTTATAATTTGGCCGACAATTTTTCTTGACTTTTTTATGCAAACATTGGGTAGAAAATAAATTCACAAATGATTTTATGAATAGCTCCTCACCAACTTAAAGAATAAATTACTTGAACATCGAACACCAAGTTTTTAGCCTTCCAAATAACATAAATAGATGAAATCTTAAACTTGCTAATCATCTCATCACTTTCATTTTTTGAATCCTGAATCTTTTGGCTTTCAGATTCTTCTTTTTCTTAGACATCTTAATACAGTCATTTGGTTATATTGTTTTCATTCAAATAAAACAAGCTAGAATATCTTATTTTATCTTATTTGTATGCATGAAATGATCTATTCACGTTCAAAGTATCAAAGTGTGTTTTAAGTAGGTTATCACAAATACATTAAAATTATATTCTCTAGAGACATTTTTTGATTTCATTCTTAAAACTAAGTTTAAGGATCTTATTTTGAAAAATTAAAAGCATCAAGCTCATCAGTTGATAGCTAATTCTACATCATGGTGTCCCTCTATAGCAATACACTACTTTAGATTGTTATGAGTTTTGCATGTTATTTTGATTTGATTCAATTTACAAAACTAAGAGAATTCTGGACACAACAGCAAAGGGTCAACACGCTCCAGTTTCAGCATACATTCTGGACGCGGGGTTTTAACACATGCGTGACATTTTATCATTAAAAATGCAAAAATGCAAAAATGCAAAAATGCAAAAAAAAAACATTAATTAAGTGCAGGAATTTTCAGTTGATATTTGACAACATTCAGAGATTTCCTGTGCACTTTAGTCTTATTCAATCACCAACCAATACTCAATGCAAGGAAATTAAACACAGCATGATCTGTTGCATTGATGATTTTTGGAAGACCAGCATCAGATTAATAAAAAGCAAAATTAAATTTTGAGATTCACATCTACAAAAAAATATTACATATATCTTGAGCTCAACAGTAAACAAGGCCACGGATGAGGACAGATTCTAGATGGTGCCACTTTTGAAGTGCTTTAATTCTCGCTTTAAAAAATATTAAATTAACACATATATTGATTCCAATCTATCTATTTTCTTCTCTTTTTGGAACAGTAATGTTTTTATGTATAAGTTGGCAGGTTCATACATTCATTCATGTACATGTATAAACAAACAACGGCCCATAAATTTATATTTAAGAGTTATCACAGACAAATTAGAATAACTTAAAACTGTACAAAAACTAAATAGTTCTCTATATATATATATATATATACATGTGTGTGTGTGTTTGTATATTAAGGAAGTGTTCACACCAGGTGTAACTACTAATTTAGAAGTTTAATCATTGTACAACTCTCACCTATTTATTTTTATTCTTGTGCATCTCATTTGCACTGTAAGGGTTTCACAAGGTTTCCTGGATATGTTGAATATTTAACACATTCCTAAATCCAATTTATATCTGAATAAAAAAAAGTACCTCAAAACACGAGTAAGGATTCGCCTAAACAAAACCATTCGTTTGCGAGCACACATACAAACATACATACATGTATGAAAATAAATGTACCAATAAATACACGTGCAGGATGAGCTCCAACAGAGCAGCTGACCTGGAGAACCACGTGACGTGGACAAGAGAAAGTGACGTGGACGATGGCCATTAGACGCCATCCAACCAATCACGGCAGAACAGGTCACCTAACTCTGCCCCACCGTGGGCGAGTGCCATAAAGGCTCATGTACATGAAGCATGGGACATGAGCCACCAGCTTTCCTTTAGAAAAGCAAAGTCGCGTGATCGTTGGGGGTGCGTGCCACAATCACAGGGCAAACCGGACCTTCCGGTGACAAAATCAACACAACGGACGAATGAGATGAGTGACGCCCGCGTCATTCCGACCAGGCGCTTCCGTCCATTCGAATCTCAATGCGGATGGCGTTACTACTATTTATACATATATATATACAGATGGCGGTCAGCATGAGAGATGGTTTGACTGAGAGTCAGCTCGTGAATGGGGTTGGGAAAGATCGGGATCTAGCTTCAGATGGGGCCAGTGTCTATTTCGGGAGTCTCTCGGGGGTGGGCCTCGGTCGTGACGTGTCTATTTATGGGGCAAGATTTTTAATGTTTTGTATCGGGAACAAGAAGGTAATTTGGGATGGTCACTACGTTCCCACTTGGGAACGTAGTGACGCTTGGATGGAGAACAATGGGGGTTTTTTTTTCACTTACCTATGTTTGATCCTTTGTATTTTGAGATTCTAGATTAAAAAAACATTTGAAATTATATGATAAATGACATTACAAAAGTCAATGGTTTTAGATTAAAATAATTCTGAAAATGAATAGATTTCATTGTTTACTCTCATTTATCGGAATAAGTTAAAATATAAGAAACAAATTGTATTAGATTCAAAAATTTGATAGTTATTTAGACTTGTGAGTAAGAATTTTTTTTTGGTTGGGATGAATTCGAAAAAATTAAATGCTGAACATGATATTTGTGGTGTTTCTTATATTTTAGGGTATGGCACAGAAAGAATATTTAAGCACATCTTAGCAAGCATTGCTATGGCTTTGCAAGTAAACGGCTTTATAATCATTTAAATATAAAAAATTATATATATACATATATACATATATATATATATATATATATATATATAATTTTTTTTGTATTGAATAGTATTATCATATTATTAAATATGAGGGTAATTAAGTAGATAAATATCATGGTTATACATACATAGTGTGGATAGTGTGAATAGTGTGGATTTGCCAATTATATTATTAAACAAATCTTAGTGATCCAAATATCGATTGGTTGATGTGTATTAGTTTCTATGTATAAAT